TGTTTTGTTGAAACAGTATTCGAAAGGCGTGATCAAGTGATTGCAGCCGTTACTTCTGAATCTGGAGAGGCAGCGACTTTACACTGAAGCACTCTCGAAAATTGAACTCTGGTCATGTTGACAGCCGTGAGCCCAGCGATTTATTTCAGAAAGTTCATTTCAGCCGTTAATGAAAATTATATGATACAAAAATGCTTCATTGCAACCAGCTGCCCGATTTAACCTGGTGGTACTACAAGGTGGCGAATGGAAAAATTCATTTGCAGCAGGAACTGATTCAAAGTTATAAATACAACAAAAACTGAATCTCATTTAGACGAATTACGGCAACAAAATTACTGAAAACTGCACAAATAAACAAAAGCAAAAAATTTATTTGAAATGAGAATACGTTTTGAGCACAGGTGAATTGGTTTAAAAAAATATGTTTAACCTGCAGTTGCTTTAGAAGTATAAAGGGTCATTTTTGTTTGCCTAGGCGATGGAGTATATAGATGTAAAGAAGCAGCTGCAGAACACATCTTGACTTGCTTCAAGCATCAACGGAAATTCTTCTACCTGATAATGTGTATATAAATTCAACTATCTTTAATGGTTCAAGTCAATAATTTAAAACCCGGTGTAAAATTATTTATCGGCGTGTTTTGACGTACTACACCAGCGCTATCATCAGAATAATGACAGTGGCATAAATCGATAATAATACTATTAACTGCTTTTCAGTCAGGCAATAAGTCGATGTCTCTTTCTATGCCTGTAAGGTATTAAAAATTCCTTTTAAACGCATACTCTATAAATTACAGCACAGCCCCCTTCCAGATTCTGGAGCAATGTGGTAGTATACTTGTGCAGTGTAAATCTGGCTGGAGGATGGTTATTTATTACTCTTAGCATGGCAATATTGTTCTCTTTAATCCTTATCAATATCTCTTCATCCATGCCAGTTTATTCTGATAAAATTTGATAGGGTCTTTACATGAACACATGTCATCATTTACTAATAAAAAATGTGGATCATGTCAGCTCATTCACAACAAGAGCCGTGTAGTTCGGTGCCATAAAATTCATTTTCGCTGACTTGATGTGACCAGATTGGCACAGTGAAAATGCCATCCGTCGTTTCGAATGCAAATTTTCATGTGTATTTTTTTAAAAGTAGCTGCTGATGTTTTAAAGAAGTTTTCAGAGCGATCTAGGCCTTGGTGTGCCTCAATACCAAAAACATTCAATAGGCACCAAGAAAGGCGACGACCGCGGCTACAGGAAAGAGCTCGTCGTACAAAAGAATGAGACGGCAGCTAGGTTTAACTAGGTTTAACCCTACCTATAGGTGGTTTACAACCTGAGATGCAAGGTCTGATCTTTTTCCGAATTCAACTGTTTTTGCGCACTACCTGAATCCGAGCGAAACTGTTGAAATAATTTAAAGAAAAATTTATAATAAACTAATATTTGCAAAATTAATCAGAAACTAATGACTTGATCCCTTTTAAGCCTTCTTTGGAATAACTACTTCTACTCTGAATGATATGACGACGATAATAAAGTATAGCTTTATCATTTATGCATACTTTTTTACGGAATAAGGATTGGATAGTATATTTGAATATACAGTCAGATGATGCCAAGAAATGAAGAGAAAATAGCATCTTTTTAACCATTTAAACTGCCCAGGAAATATAGAATTTAAGCGTTGCTAAACCTTTTGAATTGTTGTCATTTACATAAATGGAGGGTGACATTTAGACACATGTTATTTTCGCTGTCGTGCTGCGTAGCTGGGCAGTGTGTTGACCACTCATATATTGTCATGTGTTGAACGGCACCAAAGAAGTTGCGTTTAATGACTAATTTGTTATATTAGCAAGCTATACTCTATCTCTTCTTTTGTTTTAGGTAT